CCCGAAGTGGGCTGCCCGCTGGCGTCCCTCGGCGCCGTGGCCGTGGCTACCTATGTCGGCCAGGCCCGCCCTCCCATCCGCCCAACGGTTTACTACCCCCTCGGGCATGGTTGCACCCGGGAGGCCTTTATCTCGAGAAAATCGTCGGTAAAGCATCATGATGCCAAGACCGTACCATACCCGCTAGCCCGCTCACTGGCACGTGGACAGGGAAGCCCTCCCCTGGCCATGGTCACGAGCCCCGTTGGGGATATACCGAACCAGTGCGCCGCGGCGGAAAGTCACAAACAAGTAACGATCCCACCACCACGATGCCAGGACAGGGAAGATAAAAAAGACCTGTGAAAGTGCTATGTATCTGCACAGCGTAATTTGGCTGTCTCTCTACATACAAGGGTCACCCTTGGGCGTAAACCTCGATCCCTGCTAAGTCCCTTCATCCTAAGCTTTTTTGCACTGTTTCACTGAATTGAACCGGCATGAGAGGGTAGCAGAGCGACCACGCCCAAATAAACAACCCAAAAATGAGATGAGAAAAAAACTCGGCATCCCAACGGGGGCCGGGTTTATCAGCAAAACATGCCAGAGGTTTCGATGCCGTGGATGAACAAAAGAGGCAGATGACCTAGAGGGGAATTCGATTTCTGAAACGGGCCAGACATGCACGCAGTGGACGGGAATTTGGCTAAAAATGCTCGTCTCGGGTTGGTTTCAGATGCGGTGATGCGCTACCATGTGGCCAGGCCTTGGCGTGTGCAGGCCGGTGCTTACTTTCAACGGCCTTCACAGTGCCTGATAACAACAACATGCATATGTATAGCGCTAGCACAGCGATGTGGTACGCGGCCAAGCCTAGCCGGACTGAGCAGGAATGCCGGCCGTCGGCCACGCCCTGGAGGCAAGCACTGGCCAGCCTTTGCCCGGTGCCCAGCATCAGGCGCCTGCCCACACTACGATACAGACCCTTGATGCCGTCACGGGGAACTCTGCCCTGTCTGCGGCATAATACGCGGTATGGGATCGATCTTGCCAAGCTGCTAGAATCTCCAGGCAAGTCAAGCGGGGGGTAATGCATCGTTTCACGTTGTGGGCATTTGACTGCTGTCAGCTGGTGTCAACAAAGTAAAGATAGGGGTTGGCTGTTGCTTGGTGTTTTTTTTATCATGGGTTCTGATTCCAGTGTTTACGTTCTGTCTATCTCGGGAACCCCCTTTTTCCTTCGGTTTCCTTCTCTCGGCTGCCTTATTCCGCACCGTGACCATGCCGGAAGTGACTGGACCCGCGCCGATGAGGCCGTTGTCATGTTTCGCCTATTCCCCGGTTCCTGGGACCACACACGCCGTGCCAAGACTGCAGATTTGCGTTCGTCGTGGGGGATGGTTGTGCTTCCTCTGACAGAACTATCCAGGCCGTGCATGACTTTATGAGCATATATCAACACCACGTGAGGGTATTGTCAAGTTCCCCTGGAGACCGCTTGTTGACGGGGTTGACCAGTGTGCCCTCGTGACCAACCCTCGTAGCGATATAGGTTGTCTCTCACGAGGAGACTCTTCACTGCAGCACCAAGATACATGGGTAGAGAGCAGGCCTCGTACCAACTGGCAAGATGGAGATCATTCTGGAACTCGGCTTATCCCGACCCAAAAGTGAGGCTTTGCACAGGCTGGAAGCCGTATCTGCCCAATGTGGACCCCTTGTCCCGGGAACCCCAGATATCTCCAGCCACCTCGGCACCGAAATCGCATCGTGGACTCTTCTGGAAGTCCACCGGCTTCATTGGGCAGCGACAAAAGCGAGGACCGTGGTAGGCTCCGGCCGGGGTGCAAGCAGGACGGCACGACGGTCCGAGTGTCGTGCATCTGCCATGCTGCCCCTCCGACGTGCTGCAGTGGCATGAGTGGCTGCCCACAGCCAGCACTTGGTGCTCAGCTCCAGCTCCTCGGCGCTCACGTGATGCAGCCCTTTGGCCCACTCCGACACCAGCGACGGCCAATCGTGGGCTCTGGATTTGGGCGGCGTGACGCTCAACCACGTCATCCGATCAGCAAAGCCTGATCCCTACCGGACAGCCTCTGGAGAATCTTGGACCTTGGACGTGCGGGCAGGAAAACAAGGGAGAAGAAAAAAAAGGGAAAGATGGCGGCGGCGGTGCTCTCATTGCTTTTGGCTTCCCATTTCAAAACCCGCACCGCCGAATCCTGCGTGGGACAGCAGGGCTCTACGCACGCAAAGACGTCTTCGCCCCGAATCCAAAACCGTGCTGCTGCCTCCTCTTCTTGGCCCCCTCTCGAGTGAAGCCGTATCCGTCCGCCTACATCTCACCCCCCGTCATCGGCCTCGCCCTTCACCCACTCGGCCAGGCTTTCGTGCATTTGGTCTCAGGGTCCAGCGTGCCAGCCTCAGGGATCACCCGCGTCCCCGTCGCAGCCCAGCGGGCCACTGCAGACCGGTGTGCTCAGTTCAGGGCGACGCCCAACCGACGCCTGCGAGACATAAAAGTGACCCCCTTTCTTGCCACCTGATCTTCGTCTCCATCGCCATCTTCGCTCAGCAGAGTGTGCCTCTCATCTGCCCAGCCTTCACCCTCTTCCTCGTCGTACTACAAAGGGCCGACGCTAGACTGAAGAGACCAGTCAGTTCTTCGGTGCCTGTGCCGATCATCACCAAGAAAGCCGGGCACAACTTCGCTTCCGACGTCAGCCGCCCCATCCTCGTCGAAAAATTGTCTCTTTATTTTTATACTATTCGACAAGGTCTACCTACTTGCGGAACTTGCTCCAGTTGCAACGGCTTGACGATCGATCCATCTTGCCATTGTCCGCGGATCTACGCCGTCGGCCAGGTTCTCTAGCCTCCTATTCGACAGTTCGTGACCCCTTTCCCTCTCTCATCCTACTCGTCTTAGTCCCACGCCCATCGACTAACTCAAACTACGTGACCTCAGTGGCTCGTCCGTCCAAGTACAACGGCGTCCCCGTGAAGAAGTATGTCTACCTGGAGCCTCCCACCCCAGGCTCGGTGACAGTGCGCAAGCGCGTTACCAGCATCATCCCAGCGCCCTGCCCGACGCCCCCGCCCCCGCCGCCGGTCGTCGTGCTGCCGCCTCCGCCGTGCCCGCCGCCGGTGTTCGAGTGCCCTCCTTCTCCCTGCCCGCCGCCGGTGTTCGACTGCCCTCCCCCGCCGCCTCCGCCCCCGCCCGTCTTCGAGTGCCCGCCGCCCCCGCCAAAGGTGATCCCGCTGCCGCCGCCGTCGGAGCCCGAGACCATCGACGTCATCTCGGTCGACGTCGACCCCAAGCCCGAGAAGAAAAAGAAGAAGAAGAAGCACCACCACCACAGGCGCGAGCGGAGCAGGTCCAGCAGCCGCAGCAGCCACAGCCGCGAGGTCTACGTCGAGCGCGAGCGCGAGCGCTTCGTGCCCGTGCCCGTGCCCGTCGTCGTGCGCCGCGAGCAGGAGTACGAGACGTTCCGTTACGTCGACGCCGCCCCGCCCAGGCCCGTCCGCTACCTGCCCGCCCCGCCCTCGCCGCCGAGGAGCCGGAGCCGGAGCCGGGACGACGACGATCGCCTGAGGGTCTCCATCTACGACCAGCACCGGAGGAGAGAGTACTACCCCTGATCTGGCTCTCCCCGCTACGTTTGGTGCCAACCAATCCTTGTATTCTCTTGTCATTTTTTTGCGGGGTGCCTTTTACTTTTGTTTCTTAATGTTGGTATGGTGGTATGAGTTGACGAGCGTCTTTGAGGTGTGCTTTTCTTTCTCTCTTTCGCGGTGTATGCCATGTGAGTTTGGTTCATCCGGTAGTCGTGGCGTATGGTTTTCGCGGGAACATAAGGAGTTTATTTGACGCAAAGTAGGACAAACCACTGGAGGGTCCTATCTTAATACATGAAGATGGCAACTCTCACTACTACGTTCGGGGTTGAGGCCGTGTTGCTGTTCTCTTGGACAAGCTCATGATTTGATGGCCCAGATCTCACGTTTGATAAAAGTGATGTGTTTCTTCAATCATACCTGATAAGAATATCCTCGGCGGAGGTGACTCCAGTTTCTCAAATTAAGCATAGGCGTGCAACTTGTCTTCGTATCCGTTTCCACTTCACACAAGGGACCGAAGCTTGCTGTTCTCGACGCTGACCTCAGTCCGCGCCACACAATCATCCCGCAAACTTCTGAATTAAGATGTAGTAGCGTCCCCGCCGACGACTGCTTTGATCCGCTGCTACAAGTGATATGGTCAAGTGATCGGTGATTCACAAGATCTATCTGTGAAGGTCCAGAACAGTAGGCCAAGCCAACAGCGAGCCCCGGGGTACAGAATGGAATGGAAGAGAAGGGGCTAGGTGAGTCTACAAACAAGTCTGCTCAGCTCATGGGAGCAAGCAGAGTGTTGGTATCGCGGATCGTCTGGGCATGTGGACAACGAACGGCTAGCCATCCGTGTCGGATTGTGTCTCACCACGGCGGTGACTCTCGAAGCAGCACAACCGGCCCATCGCCATACGTGTGTTTGTGGTTCGGAACCATCGCCCTCCTGGACATGAAGTGGTCCTTGGAACAGGCAGGCCGAGAGCACTTGTTGCGTGGAAGAGCAGCAAGGCAGGATCGTCTCAAGCCTGGAGTAGGCGCCTCGCAATTACCCTTTTGTTCGGCTCTAGAGATGGGCTGTCATATTAGAACTACGGGCCTCATCATAGTTTGCACACGGGATAGCAGTGACTCCCCATAGCTTCCATGTCACGTGTCGCGATGTGGGTGAACAGTTGAAGCCAAGAAGGTGGTATTGGGCTGCGGCGAACATGCGGGTTTACCTACCTTCTCCCGTGAAGCCACGGCCGCTATATGAGCTAATGGAAGACACAGGCCATCTTGTGGACGTCTGCAGGTTGGTGTCTTGTGTTCAACATCACTTATGACTAACATCGTGCTTTTGGCCGAAGTCGCGTCCGTCGTAGGGGTTAGGCAGCAAGCCTTCTCCGAAACAGTCGAGCGATGCCTCAAGGCAATTTGATTACGATGGCACGCTCGACAATGCTCTCCCAGGGCAGGATGTTGAAGCTGACATCCCACTCGTTGAGCCTCAACACTCTACCGACCCAAGTGCGGGCCATCACGACCATCGGATGAGGTCTATCAACGGAAGGGCCGCATGTGTCTGTTTGAGAAAGATGCAGCTCTCTATTTTGGTGACGGACGGCCGGTCCATGGCGGGAAAGGGCGCGGGGTCTGGCATGAACGGATGCTGTGGAAAGTCTGCCCTCAACCGTTCGTTTCAATGTAAATTCTTTCCCAATTTTTTTCTCTTCTCTTTTGTCCTTGCCCCTGCTTGTGCGACATATTGTTCGTCTTTGTTTCCTCATCCCATTCATATACGGACGGGCGGCTGCTGAAATTCGCTTCCGTCTTTGCAAATCCGACCCAGCGTGGCGAGCCCGGATGCTTGTTTTTCCAGCACAGTGCAAATAGCTACGGTTGAGACACTCTAGCAACGCACCCACGACGGAGCAAGGGGCTGACGAGCACAGTTTTGGGTGGGCGAGGGAGGGCGGGCGAGGGAGGGCGGGCAAGGCCGACGATGTCGTCTTCGAGAGAGGCCCCTCGCCCACTGTATCATGACTCGGGATGTGGCCTCGACACGCGGACAGGGGGATGGGCAAGCTGGTTGACGCAAAGATTCCTGCCGAGGCCTGCAGCAAATTTCTTCCCCTTCATCTCTTCACCCCTTGCGTCTCGATTCTTTCCACCACACCGCGCACCTCCCACCCCCGGCCCAGAGAGAGAGAGAGAGAGAGGGGGATCTGCCTGGGGCCAAAAGATAAGGACAAGCCCCGGAAGCCCTGCTAGGCTTGCTTAAACCTCCGAACCTTCTTTTGACACCCAACTAGGGGCCAAGTAAAAAAAAGATCAAAAAAAAAAGACCACCCCAGGGAAGCGCCAACGGTCTGATCTGCCGTGCCTTACGTACCTTGGCCGGGGGTGTCATTTGCTTTTATGGGTCGGTGGCCGTATGTAAAAACTATGAGCCCTTGCTTGTTACCGCCTTCCGCAGCTTAGCGCGCCTCGGTGACTGCCTCCCCGCCGTCGGCCACCAACCCCAGCCGCCCGAGCGAGGCCCAGACGCGCCCATGGAGGAGATGAGCGACCTTGGGCATAGCGCCGGCTCGGCCTCCCCGCCTCCAGTCCCTTTGCCCGACGACCAGGACGACCACCAGAGCCCACCGCCAGGGCCAAAGCGCGCCAAAAAGCGGATACGCAAGCCTAGGGGCCGGGGGCTGAGGACGAAGACGGGGTGGTAAGTCGTGGTCCCGCACCGCCAGTTCGAACCTCCGTGGGGTCCCTGGACACGAGGGGGGACTGCCGTGCAGCAACGCCGCCCGGCATGTACTGCTAGCGTCCGTGGTCCGTGGTTCGCTCGGCTAATGGAAACTTTGGGCCTCGTACTTATAGTCTCACATGCCGAAAGCGACACAAGAAATGCGACGAGCAGTGTAAGTGACGCACGCGGCTGACCGACTGGCCACCACATCCACTACACCCACCACTTCGCCTGCCGCTCGCCTGTCACCCCCCTCCGGCCCCTACTTTCGTCGCCTGCTGCTGATGTGCCATGTGCCCTTGCACAAACCCGCCGTGCAGTCCCAGTGTGCAGTCATTGTGTAACGTCGAACCGCGAGTGTGTATGGCCGGAGCCCGGCCTCCCTGAAATACCGTCGGGGAACTCGTCTGTGGCCCAGTCGCCATCGGGCTCGGCCGAGCTGCGGTCGCTGCCGGCCGGGATCCCACCCACCAGCCACTCGGCCGCTGTCGTCGTGGCCCAGTCGCAGCAGCAACAGCATCAACGCCAGTTCGACCAGCCTTCCCTGACGTCCACAGCAAGCAACTCTCCACAAAGGTCCTCCCCAGCCGCGGCCCTCTCGCCCGATGCTGTCAGTGTTGAGGCCAAGGCCGAGGCGCGGGCCGCTCGTCCCACATGCCCGCCTTTAGGGCCGGTTGCCCCGACTTTGGACTATCATTTCCCCAACGGACCGACTGCTTATTCCCACAACATCGTGGACCCGGCTCTGGCCGCCCTCTTCCCGGGCACTCGGCCGAAACCAACCATCACTGACCTTGTTCAGTCCAGTCATGGGCATCAACCGGCATCACCGGAAACTATGTCGTCAGCAGACGGGATCAGCGTAGGGACCGCCGGCTCCAAGTGGCTCGACCTTCTCGCTGGCGACGCAGCGGCGCAAGCAGCTGGTGGCTTCAACCTTGGCGCTTGCAAGGCGCTTCAGACGGGCTCCCGTAGTCGCGCACCCACGTCTCCCGCTTCCGAGTTTTGGCGAGGAACACCCAGGGACGACGGCCTTAGGATATCCAATAGCCGGACAGGCGTCATGGGAAGGCTCGACTGGAGTATTCCCGAGCGGTATCCATGGCAGGAGGATGCAAATATTGAGCTTAATCCCCTCGAAACCTTGCTGTTTCGAGCTTTCGCAGAGAGGTCTGCGCTCTGGGTAAGTCATGTCCGCGCTGGGCGGGTGTCCATCACACTACATGGCCTGATGAAGCGGATTGAGCATGCAGAGCTAACCTCGCGGGACAAAAATATTTTGACCATGGCAAATGTGTAGATGGATCTATTTGACCCCTACAAGCACTTCTCCACGTGCTCGATACGGCTTGCTTTGCGGAATTTCGGCCTGATTAAGGCCATACTCGCGCTCCAGGCGCGCCACGCGTCCGTGGCCTCGGATCTGAAGGTACAGCCAAAACCGGGCAGTGTGCCGGAGGTGGACCCGACCGTTGCTGTGCAATATTACCACGAGGCCTTGTGTTATGTATCAAGAGCGTTGCAGTACCAGTCGTATGCGCGCAGCGAGGAGATACTGTGCACGGCAATGGTGATCAGCACCTACGAGATGCTGGATGCGCACATGGGCCATGGAATCGGCCGCCTATCACCCGGGCAGCGCCGCTCTGTGCTTTCCAACTGGCAACGGCATCTGAAGGGCATCTTCTGGATCCAGAGGTCCCAGGGTGTAAACGGGGCATCGGGAGGGCTCAGGCAGGCGGTCTGGTGGGCGTGGCTCCGGCAGGATCTCTGGGCAGCCTTCCGTGAGCATAGGCGATGTCTCAGCTTCTGGAGGCCCGTGATCGACTACTCGGACCTCACCCAATGCGAGCTGGCCGACCGCTCCATCTATCTCCTCAGCCAAGCCGTCAACTACTGCGCCGACGACCCCGAGATCGGATCATGGATCGATGCAGGGGCGACGAGCGCGCTGGCTGACGAGAGCGACGAGGCGGTGCGACGCCGCTGCGACAGAGGCGCTGAGCTGATGGAAATGCTGGAGCGATGGAAATCGTTCATCGGCGACGGGTTTCAGCCGTTGCCAACGGGTGCTCGGCCGCTTGGAGCGGGCGTCGGGGTGGCTGCCGCCAAGGTGTGGAAGCCTGTCTGGATACACCCGCCCGACTTTGGTGTTGCTCTCCAGGCGTACCACTTTGCGCGGATTTTAGTGTGCCTGCACTGGCCTGCCGTTGGCGGCGGTCGGTATGATGATACCAAGACACAGGCATGTTCTGATGTGCTCTCCATGGCGAGATCCTGTGCGCGATGCTAACGAGTGACGGCGCTTTTGTAGGGAATCCTGGCCGAGGCCGTGGAGGCCATCTGCGGGATTGCCATGGAGATGACAGACCATGGCTGCCAGCTCATGTCGGCGCGGTGTCTCTTTGGCGCAGGTCTCTGTGTGCAGACAGCAGCTCAGCAGGAGGGCATTCTGGAGCTGATGGAAGCGTGTGAGGCCAGGTCGGGATGGCCCCTGGATGCCATGAGGGACGATTTGCGTGCTGAGTGGCGGAAAAGAGACACGGAGATGCACGATGTGTAAGCTCTCAAGCTTTATGGCATGCATGCTGCTGTGGCTGCATTTTTGCTCCAATCCAAATGTGTTGGGCGAGGCAGGTGCGGCTGGGAAACCCCTCCGAGACACAGAGAGCCAGCAAGATAAAAAGGAGGGTGAAAGGAATATGGATGAATGAATAAAAGGTCAAATAAAAAAAGAGAGAAAAACATAAAAAAGACACAGAAACAAAAGGGCTTGCTTTTGAACCATGTGGGTTGTATCGACAGTCAGCGACACTTGGGGCTTGGGACGAACAGTGTGTCGAATTTGAGCACCTCATCGACGCGCCTTCCCAGACAGGCGCCTCCGGGGCTGCCCCTACCACTTCATGTTGTCTCTCAGGGAAAGAGCGCCTGGGGGTTTCGTCCTAGGGATACAATTTTCCCCGCGCTCGGTTGTATCTCCGCGGAAGTCGCCTGATGGGGCTGGGCTGGGAGTCCCTGGGCCGAGTCGGTCCACGCCAAGAGCCCTGATCAAGACAGCGAAGGCCTAACAAACACTAATGGAACCCACTAGCATCCCACCAGCATCCACCTGGCAGCGCACATGCTGCGGTATCATCTCCACGGGTCTTCCCAAGCCGACCTCGCTCAGCCCTCGTGTCGCGGTCCACTTCGTATCACACTCTAAGCCTTTTGCCGCACACATGGGGAACAGCGTTTACATTATGAAATCGAAATGCCCGTGGCTGCCCAACCGAGGTCTTTCTATCAAATAAATGGATGCCTTGTGGTCGACGCCAAACGGGGCCCCTGACCGTCGTCGCTGCCCCCCATCTCGCAGCACCCTCATTTCGCAGCCCCTGGCCTCTTCCTTAACAGGACCTCCAACGACGCAAACGCCGAGAGCCCAACGAAGCACATGCCGGCAATAACCCCGAACCCCAAGAGGTAGCCGGGCGCGTCCTCGGAGGGGAAGAGGTAGGCGCCATAGATCTGGGCCAAGTTGCCCATGGCGTTGACTAGCGCGAGGCCCACGGCGCGCGGCCCAACCCCGTCCTCGCCCGGGAAGGCGGCCAAGAAGGTGATGGAGGCTATCGACAGCGCGAGGGCGTTGGCCGCCCAGAGCGCCGACGCCATGACCACCAGCAGCGCGTAGCGCCCCGCGAAGGCCGCCCCGGGAGACGCGTGCGCACACCCGACCACGGCCAGCGCACACGCCGTGGCCAGCGTCATGCACGCCGCGGCGAGTATCGGCCTACGCCGCCGCAAGTGTCGGTCGGCCACCCAGCCGACGCACACTGTGGCGACGAAGGCAGAGCCGTAAATAGGCACCACCATGTACTGGGCCATCTGGACCGAGGTATAGCCCAAGCCCTGGACGAGGGTCGGGTAAAAGTACGACAGCGTCGAGGAGCCGACGATGGCCATGTAGCCGAGGACTAACAACCAAGTCCGCCACTCTTTTAGGACCATTTTGAGGGCGCGGATATGGGACGGACTCGGTTTTATCCCTGATGGTGGGGGTGTTTTCATCCGGCGACTGGCGCTCATGTGGCTATTGCTTGTCAGCAATGTCGCAGCCGGGGCTGAAGATGAGGGCGGCGGGGCCATGAGAGCCATCTCCCTCTTTTCACCGCCTGGGGTGTCGGCTCCCAGTCGTTTCACAGCCAGGACACGCTCCCTCTCGCTCAGACGCTTGGTGTTGGCCGGGAAGTCCAGCAGTATAAACCGGCTGGCGCTCGCAACACAAACCGTGGCAATGCCTTCGATAATAAACAACCAACGCCAGCCTTCAATCCCCGCCAGCCCGTCCAGTCCTGTCACTATGCCGCCCGCGAGGAGGCCACCAAAGGCGCCGGACAGGATGGCGGCCGAAATATAGACGGCGAAGCGTACCGACTGCTCCTCGATACGGTACCAACTATTAAATAGCAGCAGGATACCTGGCGCAAAGCCGGCCTCCAGGGCGCCGATTGCGGCACGCAGGCCGACGAGGGCGCCGTATGTCGGCACAAACCCCATGGCCGTGGTCAGAACTCCCCAGAGAAACATTATTGTGGGTAGGAAGACCGAGGGCCGTGTGCGGGACAGGGCCATGTTGGACGGCACCTCGAACACGACGTACCCGACGAAGAAAACCACCAAGGCCGTCGAGTACATGTCGGAATCCATCTCCAAGTCTTGTGTCATGCCGGCGATCTTGGCATTGCCGATACTGCAGGACAGGATTTCGGGGGTCAGCATTCCGAGTGGAACCTCTCGAGTGGGAGGGAAATCTGAAGGATATATCTTGCTCACTTGGTGCGGTCCATGTAGCTGCATAGGTACATGATCCTATTATGGCTTTCGTCAACACAGGCTGGGAACTTGGGGGCGCGGCAACGTGCCTGGCTTTCCCACACCTCGCGTGTCATACCATATCGTCGGCAGTAGGTAGCAGTCTATCTTCCTGACTAGCGCTTCCTCCTCCTTACTTTTGGCGACGTATCCTGCGGTCTGCGGCGGCCCAACAACCCGGGCTTCTTCGTCGAGACTACTCGGCGGTGCTCTGTCGGAGTCGGCATTGTGGGGGCTTGGGGCGGCTGGCGTTCGGTTGACGTCGCTGTCGGATGTGCGTTCGGCCATATTGGGCAGGGTGCCACGCGGCGACGTCGAGATGTCGGAAGGGTTGTGTGTATCGGACAAGAGGCCGGAGGCTAGGAATGGGCGGAATATGCTTTCTGGTGGCCTGGGTGGGAGACAGGGGCGGGCTTCCTTGGTCGTTTTTGCTCTTGACGTGGTTCTAGCTGTTCACCCGATAACGTCAACCACCCGCTCGGTCAGCGTCAAAAATCCATGACATACGTCAATGTTAATGTCTTGGCACGGGGAGAAAAGTTGAATCGGCCGGGCGGCCCGTGCCATTCGGTGAGTGGGCATTCCACCGCGGATCGGAGCTGGACCTGAACTGCCTGCCGGTTGGTTTGGTGGGGACAGCACGCCTCGGATCTGACTCGTGGCCGACACGGATCCATGATCCATGGCCAGGCGGGATATCTTACAACGCTTGAACAAGTACTGCTACTACCTCGTACAGCTAATTTACACTGAGAATAACCCCCCTTTTCCAGTATCACGTATTCCGCTCGAAAGGATACTGCCGCGTCTAGCGCAGCCCGTGCCCTTCCTCTGACCGCAACGCGGACGCCAAAAAAAAAAAATCACTTGGACTCCTTTCCCTTTCCCTTCATGGCGGAGCGCGCCAGTCGGACGGCGTCCCCGTTCTGATCCCTGGGGACCGCGTACCAGACCACCCCGACGTCGGCGAGGGCCCGAAGGCGGGCGATGGCCACCCACAGCCTCAGCCAGGCGGCCGTGTTCCTGCCCGCCCGGCCGCTCCCGTCGCGCAGGAGCGGGTCCATGCCGCCGCCGCCCGCCCTCGCCTTCCTTCCGGCCTTGGTGGCGAGCCTCCACCCCTGCTGGGTTGTGCACACGCTGTTCAGCAGCTCGATCGAGTCCGACATTATGATGACGCGCATGCTGACTGGCCTGTCCTGCACCTTGTCGTCGCCGCCGCCGCTGGTGCTGGCAGGCGCAGCTTCGGCGGCGCTGGCGGCAGCGGAGGCAGAGGCCGACTCGGCCGCGTACTTGGCGTTGTGTTTGAGCACCGCCTCGCGCAGAGAGCTGCTTGGGGTCGCCGCCGCCGCCGCTGCAGGTGCTTTGGGGCTCTCGGGGGCGGGCTCGGGCTTTTTGCGGTTGAACAGCAGGCTGTCGGCGTTGTACTCCATCTTGGGGGCGGTAGCGGCGGCAGCTCGGCCGCCGGCGTTGCCGCTAAGCACGTCGCGTGGCGACGGTAGCGGGGCCTGCATAAGGCCGCCCAGCGAGTTGCGCAGCCACGGCTCGACCCACGAGGACTCGGCGTTGTCGATGAAGCGGACGTAGTGGGTCTGCATCTTGTGGGCGTCGGGCCCCATGGTCCTCTGCATCTGGAGCAGGTAGTCGTCGACGATGGCGTCGCGCTTGTCCATCCACTTGCGCAGCTTGTAGCCCGACGGCGGCCGCCCTCCCGCGTCCGCGATGCCCATCTGGCGCGCCGCGTCGGCCGTGCGGCGCTGGCACTCGTCCATGAGGACGTAGTGGTGGTCGTCGAGCCGCCGGTTGATGTCCCTGAGCCTCGGCATCAGCCGGGCCGCAATGTCGGCCAGCGCCTGCCTGGCGTCGGCGAACCCCTCGTCGCGGCCCGGCCGCCCGTCGGCCTGTACCCTCCCGACGATGGTCATGCGGTCCCCCGGCGCGGCCCCCGGCGCGGCCACGAAGCGGTTGGTCTCGACCCTGTCCATCTCGCGCGCCACCTGCTCGAACTGGTGCACCTCGTTCGCAAAGAGCCGCTGGTCCACCCCCTGTAGGCGCGCCCACACCAGGTCCGTGGCCTGCGACAGGTCCGACAGGTCCTTGGGCACCTGCCGCACGAGCGACAGCCTGGCCCGGCAGGCCGGGAGCACCTTTTGCTCGAGCACCTCGAGCGCCCGCGTGGCCGCCGCGATCTCGGCCGCCTCCTTGCTGGCGGCGACGGCGGCGCAGGCCGGGTCGGTGTCGGCCTGCTGCTGCTGCTGTGTCCGGTCTCCCGTCTCGGGTGCTGGTGGCGGAGACGACGGCGGCATGGCCTCGGCGACGTTGTAGGGCGAGCCCTCGGCGAACCAGACGCCAAAAGCCGCCGCCGCCGCGTCTTGCTTCCGGTCGTCGCCCCCGGCCACGGCGACGGCGCCGATGCGCACCACGATGGAGCTCATGGGCGGGCGCTGCGGCGCCTTGCGGGGCGGGGCGCCGCCGCCGCCGTCGTCCACCATCAGGTCCTCGTTGTCGCGGCCGCAGGCGTAGTGCCACGGGTGGGTGCACTGGGTGCCGGGCCCGCCGCCGCGCAGGCGGTTGAAGCCCGTCAGCCACGTGAGGCGGCACTCGGCGCAGTCGTCGAGCGCGTGCTTTAGCCGCGGGTCCGTCAGCCGCTCCGGCTCGGGCGCCCGGCTCAGGTCGCAGTGGTGGAACCCCAGCGACGCAAAGGCCATGCGCCCGATCACCTGCTCGTCCCACTGCGGTATCCACCACCGGAGCTCCTTGGGCGTCGCGCCCGCCGCGCCCGCCGGTCGCGAGGAGGGGGGCCGCCGCTGCGCGGGCTGCTGCCGCTGCTGCTGGGAGGGCTTCTGGCCTGCGCAGGCGCCAGTGGGGAGTCGGGTCGGCACAACCGGGTCGGGCAGCATTGCGGGCATGCTGGCCATCAGCTCCGAGAGGAGGTCGGTGGCGCTGCACGTTTCGGCCTTGCCCTTGCCCTTGCCCTTGGCTGCCTCGGCCTTGCCGCTGCGCTCTGCGGCGGGCCTTGAGCCTTCGGGAGGGTTGTCGCGACTGCCCGCGGCCGCCTTCTTTCGCGCGTCGCGGGGTTGGCCCTTTGCCTTCTGGGCGCCACTGGCCTTGCCTGGGTCATCCATGCTGTCGAGCGGTAGGTATATGTATGTAAGTTGGTAGTGGTAATGGTACGAATCGAGGATGGGCACTGTGATGGTCGGTTGGGATTGATGTTGTGTTTGTGAATGTTTACCAATTTTGAGGTTGGGAGAAATTTTGGATAAACGCAAGCAGAAAGGGAAAGCAAAAAGCAAGTTCCGCCGTTTTGTTGTTTGCTGGGACAGCAGAAGGGAAGTGCGACTTCTCAGATCGCCGTCACCCCGACTTGAGCAAACGCTTAGTTGCGTATTAGCACCCGCGCAGTTCCCGTCGTTATTCCTTGTCGACTTGGATTCTATTATTTAATAAACAATTAAATAACAGTGACCGCCCGGGGTGTAACCGGTTGTTAGAATGGCCATATAATTCCCCATATTTTGCTCGCCCTTTTCAACCACCTATATCGGTATCTACCCACCCTTCCCAGTAGTGGCTTCCTTGTAGCCAGCCTCTTCAAGCAAGGTCCGCGCTCAGCGGCAGCTTCCGGCTGCTACTGCCGACAAACACCTTCTTGGGGTGTTTCGAGATGACCCAGTCCTGGGCGGCCACGTCCCAGTTGCTCAAGTCCCTGCGCGTGATGCGGGTCTTGAACTGTGCGCTGCCGCCCGCGTCGATGCGGATGCGGTCGAAGCCCCTCAGGACCACGGGCGGGTCCTCGGGCCCCCCGAGGGACACGTACAGCTGCGGTACCTCGTCACCCGCGAGCGAGCCCGTGTTCCTGATGGTGGCCGTCACTGTGTACACGGTGTCGTACAGCTGACGGTTGCCGCCGGGCTTGGTCCGGTCCGCCGACCGCAGGCGGGGCTGCGGCGACCCGTCCAGCACGCCGGGGGGCATGAACTTGTCCGCCGCCTGCCCGTACCTGGGGTCGGCCGAGGCCTTCTCGCCCGACTCTGAGGTGTTGAGGTACGGGTAGACGAACTTGTACACGTACGGGAACTCGCCAGACGGGAACACGTAGTTGGACAGGTCCTTGGACACGTTGGCGCCAAAAACGGGAGCCGCGATGGTCTCTCCAGTCGTGGGCTTGTACTCGCCGGCGTTGGACTTTTCGACCACTAGGTCCGAGTACTCAAATGTCGTGTAGCTCAGCCCGAAGCCGAACTCGTAGATGGGCGTGTCCTTCTCCTTGTCAAAGTGGCGGTAGTCGATGAAGACGCCCTCAGTGAAGTCCTGCTGAGGAGCACCATTGCCATTGTTGGGCTTGTACAGAACGTCGGTTCCGTAGGACTCGCGGGTCTTGCCCCATGTGAAGGGGGTGCGTCCGGCCGGGTTAACCTTTCCGTAGAGCACGTCCACGATGGACCGGCCCGACTCTTGTCCTGGGAGACCAGCCCACACGATGGCCGTCACGTTCGGGTTGTCGTACCACTCGGTCAGGATTGTCGGGCCAACCGAGTGGATGACGACGATGGTGTTGTTGCACCATCTGCTGACATTCTTGACGAGGTCGTCGCCGCTGTACCAGAGGGTCAGGTTCTTGCGGTCGCCGGCGTTGCCGTCAACGCTGATGTAGCCCTCGCCCGAGTTCGCAGCGACGAAGACGATGGCCGTCGCATGCGTTTGGCTAACCAAGGACTTGATCTGAGAGGTGGCGTAGTTGTCCAGGATGCTCTCGTAGCGCGAGCCGTCCTCAAGCGCCTTGGCTTGGAGGGCAGCGTCAGGGGTAACCAGGTAAGGGAAGCGGGCAGTTCCGGAACCCCAGCCCACGCCAAGCGTTCCCTTCAAGCAGCCTTGGTCGGGGCACGAATTGGGACCCTGTGGGTTGGAACCAGCATCGTCGCCCACCACAGCCAGGAATTTGGGCTTGTTGAGAGGGAGTGCGCCCTTGTTCTTTAGGAGCACGGTTCCCTTGGCCGCGACTTCACGGATCAAGTTACCGTGGTCTCGGCGCACGTCAACGTGTTTATTGACCTGCTGGACATACTTCTGGGCGGCGTAGTGGAGTGGGCCGTAAGTGTCCAGGGTCCACGAGCTGAAGTTGATGTCGGGCTGCTCGACGGTGCTGCCGACCTTGAAGAAAGCAGCCATGATCCTCATGGCCATGTCGTCGATACGCCACTCGGGCACGGTGCCGTTGACCACTCCGAGGGTGAGATTGGCGCCCCAGAAGCTGAGACCGCTGAGGAAGGTGGTGTCGCCGGGCATGGTCATATCCAGGCCCGCCGCAGCGCTTGCCACGCCCGTGTGTTGCGCCTGCCAGTCCGACATGACAAAGCCCTGGAATCCAAGTTCGCCCTTGAGCAGGCCGTTGAGAAGCTTGCTGTTCTGGCAACCATACGAGTTGTTGATCTGGTTGTATGAGCACATGACGGCGCCAACACCGGCGCGGACGGCGTCGGCAAAAGGCCACAGGTAGAGTTCGTGCATCGTCTTGTCGTCCACGTTGGATGACAGAGATTCCGTGATGTTGTGGCCTCGGCCTTGGGCCTCGCCACTCTGCCTGAAGTGCTCCTGCTCGTTGGCGATGAAGTGCTTGGCCGTGGCAATGACGCCGGCGTCCTGGATGCCCTTGATCGTCTCGGCCATGCCCACTCCAGTGAGCACAGGGTCGGGTGAGAAGCCCTCCCAGTTCCTACCGCCAACGGCCGTGCGGCCAATGCCACCACCCACGGGCCCGAGAAGTACATTGACGCCCTTGTCCTTGGCCTCCTGGCCCATGGCCTTTCCGCGGCGGTACATCAAGCCCCTGTCGAAGGTCGAGGCGGCCGTCATGCCCGCGGGGAAAACGGAGACATAGTCGGCAAACCGGATACCAACAGGAGAGTCCTGGAGACACAGGCTGCGCAGCCCGAGGCGGGGAACCGCTCCGACGTTACCGACGCAGCGCTCACTCTGCCAGCTAGATTATCAGACAGTCAGTATCTTATTCCCGAGGAGCGACATCTCATCTTGCCGAAAGCAACTGGGAAAACCTTGGGAACATACCCGACACCAGTGGTGAGGTTGACCTTCTCGATGAGGGTCATTTGGGAGACGAACTCCTTGGCCTTGGCGTACGCCTCGGTCCAACCGTCGGCATCAGGATGCATCCATGGCGATGGGTAGTGAGGACCAGAGGTGGCGAGCTGTGCACCGCCGATCTAGGTAGTTAGCACCACTGGCCAGTCACGCCGGGGCAAGCAATAGGGGACCACAGATAGCAAGGGCATGTAGATGGTTACCTGTGCCTGGGCAGAGCCAGTGCCCGCCAGCAAGGACAGAGCAAAGTCTGAAAGGCGCATGTTGGCAGCGTCTCTCGTGCAACGATGCTCGGCTGACGAGGACGGAGGGACGGCGGAAGAAAGTGCTGCTCCTGTGTGGCCGTTATAAAGAGATTATAACGTCACACGCAAAGGCAGCGACTGACTGGTGCAGATCCTCGTGGACGAGGGTCACAACGCGCGTACCACGTCCGGACTGTCCGGGCTGCGACGAGAGGGACGGGGAGGGTTAATATACTTAGCTCTGGGTACCTATATAGGCAGGTACCTACCTATAGGCCCCCTTGCGTCATGTCGGCCATAACGGCTGCCTGGATGAAGATCGCGAATCGACCCCATTCCTGGGCAACCCCCCTTTTCCACTGTATGGGCAGTGCGGAGAAACAAAGGCACGAATCGTTTGGTTTCTCTGCATGTCTCCAGTCATTCCGATGGCCGCCGCTTGGCGCATGCAGGGGGGCGGGCAGCTGCTCATTACCAGGCCCCGACACCAAGCCACCCGTCCAAGGCGTGCTGCCGCAGGACGGGTAAGTATACAGAATGGCAAGACAAGCATCAAACCAGGTTTGAACCCCGTTTCTGCTAGTCCTACTCGCACTTCTTTAGTGTTGCTCGCACCTGGAGACCGGAATTGACCTTGGCAGGCCCAGAACATTTGGGCAGGGAATAAAATCATAAAAAAAAAAAAAAAAACAAGAGGAAGAAAAACCAGGGGGCTCAGGTTGGGGTAAGGTGGAGGCGTTCTTGGCTTGGAGGAAGGCAACCTCATCATAAACGGGCCGATGCAAGGGGACAAAGGCGGGCCAGCACAGCCGTACAGGTCCCAGGGATCACAAACCTTAGCACAGTGGATCCTGGTGGTACATCAGTTTGGCTTGGTTTTCTAAGCAAGAAAATGTATCTTGCATCCACCGCACCAAGGTTTGTGATCCCTGGGACCTGTAACAAGGTCAGCTTCTTTTTTTTCTCTTTCTTTTTTTCGAAGGCCGGCGAGATGCAGGTGGGGTCTGGTAGTCTGTTGTCGCACGACATAGAGCACGAGCATGAGCTGGTGGTAGAGGACGGATAGGCGAGGACGCTGACTCGGTCGCTAGACGAAGGCTAGAGGACCAGACAAGATGCAAACCACAGGACAGCGCCCACGGAAGCGGTACAGAAACACGCACGAGGACACGGCCTGGGCCGCCTTCACCTTGTTCAAATTGAGCCAAGAAAAGAAAAAAGAAAAAGAGGGGTGTCACTACAATCACGGAAGTCGCTCCCCAATGGTACGACGGGCAGCTAGCAGCACCATTTCCCGGAACCTCGCTGATCCAAATCACAAATCCCTGCCAGAAAAGCCGTGGGTTTGGCATTTGCGATTCGCCAATTGCAGCGCTGCAGACGCTACCCCTGTCATCTGACCTCACCTGCTGCGCCATTCGGGCCGCCACACTTGGAGAGGAAAGGCGGGGGTTGTCGGGGAAAAGAAGGACCAAAATGTTGGAGCCGAGCGGGGGCCGGGTCCGCACAAGAGAAAGGGGCAAAACAAAGAAAGAAAGAAAAACATCATTTCAAATCCACACCGACAAGCAAGACGCACAAACATCATCTGATCTTCCAAAAGAGGCAAATGCAACCCAAGGACCAGCTCTCCGGGCAGCCGGGAAGCATTTCCTGTCACGACCCCACCCTGTGGGACAGATGCTACTCTATCAACCGTCTTGCTTTCTCTTGTGTCTACCAGTTTTGCCGATGTTGACGCGAAGTCTCCGCCTGCTCGGTCTGCTCTCGGTGTCATTTTCTCGTCTGCCAACGTCGGGTGCAGCTTCCCCGCAAAAAGACACGAAGCACACACACCATGTCAAGCTGCTGACACCTCCATGGACGCGGACAGGCGGATACCTTGACGTAATTAGAAATCCGATGGAGAAGGGTTCTAGAACTGTACTGGTAGCTTATCGTATTCTGGCTGTCTTGGGGAAAGCCTAACAAAAGAGCCGCAGAGATATACAAAGTGCATATCACATTATCACAAATCATGCCCCATGCGAGAAACCTTGCTGGACGGTGAATGGTAAGAGCAATCGAGAGTCCAACAAGTGCTCACATTCATATTCATATAGCCCGGCGTGATCACTGATCAGAAGGAAGGAACCCGCACACCAAAAGAAGTGCTATTTACAGGCAGCTGATGAGAAAACTTGACGTCGGTGTGTAGTATGGTTAGTACTCGGTGCTGGGCCAGGATGATGGTAAACAAAAGAAGAGAAAGGAACAGGTAGATAGGATCGTTGTATACCTTTCTCGGCGCACAAATCTCCGCCATGGCCATCCGGTCTACGTAGGAGGCATCCGCTCCCCCGCATCCCACTAGCGTTGTGATGAGCGATGTTGTCAGCGGTTGACATTAAACTAGTAGGAAACATGCCCTCTTCGCTCTGCCGTACAAGCCCAGAGGGGGCCTAGGAGACGGCAAACTTACATGCTCGACGATGCACCCCTTCTCCCACCTGTAACGGTCCACGATGGTGCCGAACGAGTTGCGGTAGTTGAGCCACCCCTGGTTTCCTCTAAACAGCGTCCGGATCACCGTGATCCGCTGCGAGGGCCAGAGAGGGCTGAGGAGGTCAAAGGCGAACTGCGCGCCGTTCTTCGCCGCCGGGTTGTGGTTCTGGCAAACGACAAGAGAGAGAGATCAGCAACGCCAGTGAGCCGGGGAAGGGCAAAGCGTATGGAAAGAGTCAAGTTGATGACGAGAAATGGTGGTGGGGGGGAGGATGAACGCACAATGTACTCGGGCGCAATGTAGCCAAATGCCTCGACCAGGTCCTTCTTGACGAGGAAGGCGTCGGCGAACTTGTCGAATCGGGCCTTGGTCTCCTCCTCGGCCGGCTCCTTGACCATCTTCTCGCAGAACTTGACCTGCCTCCCGCCGCCCTGCCTCGGGCCCAGCGCCGCGATCGAGTCGATGCCCGCCACGGGGGCGGGCGCCGCCAGCGCGCTAAGCGGCGCGAGGACCAGCGCGAGGACCAGGGAGACCGGGGCGTGCATCCTTTTCTTTTTTTTGCCTCGAGCGCGGAATACGGCTAGAGTTCCGGCGTGGGTTGAGTGTGGGTGGTGGGGCGGCAGATTGCGTGTAAGTCGGGTGGTTTGTGCTGTGATTCAAACTACCGCCAAGCAATCGAGGACGAGGACGGCAAAGAGGAACAGAGCGGACCGTCAAATTTCCCATCGAGAAAACCTACAGCCCGGGGCTACAAAGGGGGATTATATATACCTAGTCGAATAATCAACGGCCAGTCTCAATGTGCTGGGCTATAGATAGGTGTCCCTGTCCCTCCCTCCGATTCCCACCTGCCGAACTAGGCGAGCCCCGGCTCGCAAAGTGCCCAGTTCCATATCTTTAATTAATTAAATCAGGGATTTGGGCGCAGGACGACCAAATCGGGACTTGCTTTCGTCCTCGATGCTCCCCTCATTGCCTGGACTGGCTGGCCTAGGTCATGCCAGTTGGCCCAGGAACCCTAGAGTTCAGCCTGTTCTAGGAGCCAAGAGATGTTGATTTGGACGGCGGGCAACGTCGCACGGCAGATGTCGATCCTGTTTGGCATCTGGCCCCTATATGCGCAGGACCCCTGATTTTGTATCTCTTACAGCTAGTTCTGCCATGTGCATATTCCAATCGGGGTATTGGTAGTTCTTGCATATGCCGCCACATGGCGACGTGTGTTTGGCTTGTACATCTCGCATTAATCGCGCTCCTAGGGTGAAGGGCTTCTGGTCTCCCTCCGGCTCGGGCCGCTGTTTGTCATGTCTGGGTAATCTACACTGCTGACCTATGCCGCCTCCCAGTACTTGGAATGAGATATATCTTGTCAGTCAACCCTTGGTGGTGCAGTGTATACATTGCGCGCATTTGTTCAACGAGTGTACCAAGAAACTCAAACAAATCATTGTCAAAGCAGAGCTCGTTTTAAGTACCTAAAAAAGAACAGCGCACGGGCATGTCTAAGTGCTGTCTGGAAGGCTGTAGGGGAAATCGAGGGGAGAAAAACTCAAGCAAGTCAGAAGCAAGGGCAAAAGGAGAAAGAAAACCGAGAAAGTAAACAAACGCCCATAAAGACCTCCAGGGTCACCCGCAACGCCTCAGTCTGCCTCTATCCGGCTTTTATCTACCCCCTGCAAGGTGCATAGCCTTGTCCCACAGACCGTTGCGCTTCCACGTCCACTTGCTCAGGAAGTCGGGATCGACGCCATCCTCGAATGCCTGATTCCTGGCCGAGATCTGCGCGTTGAGCAGCGTCTGCCTGGCCGAGGAGCCGCGGTTGTTCAGTGTGGGGGCCATGCGGTCAATGGCATCGATGGCCAGAGAGAAGCGATCAGTCTGGTTCCGGATCGCCAGCGCCAGCGGGGTGTCGATGTTGCCCTTTTCCTTGTAACCCCTCACGTGCAGGTGCTCGGCAGCACCCGGGCGCTTGTAGGTGAGGCGGTGGACCAGCCACGGGTACGAGTGGAAGTTGAATATGACGTGCTTGTCCTTGGTGAAGAGGGAAATGTACTCGCTGTCAGTCAGGCCGTGGGGGTGGTCCGACGGCGAGATGAGCTTGAAGAGATCCACAACGTTGACGTAGCGGACCTTGAGGTCGGGGAAGTGCTGCAGCAGTAGGTCGATGGCGGCCAGCGTCTCGTGGGTGCTGATATCACCGCACGAAGCCATGACGAGATCGGGCTCCTCGCCGGCGTCGGTCGAGAACTGCGGCCAAATGCCGATACCCTTGGTGCAGTGCTCGACTGCCTGATCCATGTTGAGGTACTGCAGGTGCTCCTGCTTGTCCGAAACAATCACGTTGACGTAGTTGGACGATGCCAGGCAGTGGTCCATGCAAGAAAGGAGGCAGTTGCCGTCAGGCGGCAGGTAGATGCGGACGACCTCGGGGCTCTTGTTGGCCACGACATCGAGGAAGCCGGGGTCCTGATGGGTGAAGCCGTTGTGATCTTGACGCCAAACGATGGAGGTGAGCAGGATGTTGAGGCTGGAGATGCTGTTCCTCCACTCAACCTCGTTGCACTTCTCGATCCATTTGCAGTGCTATAGTCGGTACGGTGGGGTATCAGCTAGCGCTCGTGAAAAGTAACAATGAAAAAAGACAAACGTACCTGGTTCACCATGGAGTCTATGACGTGGATGAAGGGTTCGTAGCTGTTGAGCAGACCGTGGCGGCCGGTCAAGGTATAGCCCTCAAGCCAACCCTCACAAGTGTGCTCTGATAGGATCTCCATGACCCTACCTTCAGTGGCCAGGTTGCCGCCGTCGTCATCTTCATCAAAGGATTCCGCAAGCCAAACTGATTCAGAAGAAGGGGTAAGTATTAGTCCTAGGTCCGCTGTCAAGAAAACGATAAAAAGGAAAACGGGGGAAAAGGATCGAGATGGGATAGTATCGTACCTTTCTTGCCGGCCTCGTATACCTTGCCAAGCTTGTTGGACTCGGTCTCGTCCGGGCCAAAGAGGCGGAAGTTGGTCGGGTTGCTGGCGACCACGTCACGGAGGTAGCCCGCCATGTTCTGCATGCTCGAGTCCATGACGGCGCCCGGCTTGTCCACCTTGGTCTGGTAGTTGCGGAAATCGGGCAGCCGCAGCGGCTTGCGCAGGCCGGCGCCCGCGTTGGTGATGGGGTTGGCGCTCATGCGGCGCGTGCCCGTGGGGCAGAGGGCCTTGAGGCTCGGGTCGAGCTTGCCGTTGGCGTCGAAGAGGCGCTCGGGCTCGTAGCTGCGCATCCACTCCTCGAGCAGCTTGAGATGCGCCGGGTTGGTGCGGACATCGGTGATGGGCACCTGGTGTGCTCGCCAGTAGCCCTCCATGTACTTGTCGTCGATCTTGCGCGGTCCGGTCCAGCCCTTGGGCGTCCGCAGAACGATCATGGGCCACAACGGGCGCACGGCCTTGCCCGAAGTGCGGGCCTCCTCTTGGATCTTCCTGATCTCGACGACGCAGTGCTCGAGTGTGGCGGCCATGGCTTGCTGCATCGAGTCGATCTCGTCACCTTCGACAAAGTAGGGCTGCCAGCCGTAGCCAATGAACAGGCACTCGAGCTCCCGATGGCTGATGCGGGCGAGAAGGGTGGGGTTGTTGATCTTGTAGCCGTTTAGATGCAAGACTGGTAGGACTGCGCCGTCGACGATGGGGTTGAGGAACTTGGTGCTGTGCCAAGCAGCGGCCAGCGGGCCCGTCTCGGCCTCGCCGTCGCCGACCATGGTCAGAGCGATCAGGTTGGGGTGGTCAAAGACGGCGCCAAAGGCATGCGAGACCGAGTAGCCGAGCTCGCCGCCCTCGTGGATGCTGCCCGGGGTCTCGGGCGTGGCGTGGGAGCCGATGCCACCGGGGAAAGAGAACCAGCCGAAGAAGTTCTGGAGGCCCTCCTCGTCCTCGGACTTGTCGGGGTAGACCTCGGAGTAGACGCCCTCGATGTAGGACATTGCCAGCACGGCAGGGGCGCCATGGCCAGGACCCGAGATGAAGATGGAGTCCAGGTCGTACTTCTTGATCAGGCGGTTAAAGTGCATCCAGGTGAAGGCCTGGCCGGGGGTGCTGCCAAAGTGGCCGAGAAGGCGGCCCTTGATCTGGTCGAGGGCCAGCGGCTCGCGGAGGAGAGGGTTCTTGCGGAGGTAGATCATGCCGAGGCAGAGGTACATGGCGGCCTTGAAGGTGTCATTGTACTTCTCGAGCTCCTCCTTGCTGAGGGGCTCGCCCTTGACGGTGGATCGAGCAGGGCCGTACGCCCGTATGCTCGCGACTTCGTCGTCAGGCATGGTGCGAGGGGCTCGCGGACTCGCGATGGCTGCTGGGGAGGCAGGAAACAAGGCAGATGGTGTTGTGGTGGGGCAGGTAGGGTAGAAAGGCGAATCAGCCAACCTGATGGTTGATTTGCTGGTGCTGGTCTACACTATCTGGAGCGGGTGGTGTCTGTGTTGCTTGGAGACAGGATGATGGAAAAGAGAGGGAAGACAACGGACGGTAAACGGCCGGGTTGTGCTTCTTATACTGTCAAAGGAGCCAGAGAAGGGAAGCCTGCTCTTCGCGACTTCAACCTGCAACTCACCACGGGCTGCCTTCCTGACGTATGCAGCGGACTTTACACATGCCACAAAGGGCAAAAGTGGGGATAGCCACTGACTAACAGTGGAGAGCAGGGGTAGGTGCTGTTGCTGGTGCTAGGTGCTGCTGGAGGCTCAGAGCCCACAGCGCCCACCTCACCTGATGTTCAATGCCAAGAACTGAGCCAGTGCCGTGCGGATTTGATTGGCAGTCGTACCGCGGCGCTGCCTCGGCGAGCCTGTCTTTGCTGTGTCGCCTCTTCGATTGCCACGGGCAGCCCGCGAGCAACATAGCAGTGCCCAGACCGCCCAGAATGGCAGCTGCGGAACATACGAAAGGCCCAGTCAGGATCTTGCTCAGATCATGGAATCCCGAATGCATGGCCTTCTTTTTCCCTGCAGATACTGTGGGCCACACGTGTTTTGCCGGTGTTCTGCGCCGCAAAGGACGCACAGCCGGGCTGGCTGCCACAAAAGCTTGGCCCTGACAGGGGGATTTAATTGGCCGCCTTCGCAGCAAAATGGCCTGATCACAGTCGAGGCAAGTCCGCTTAATTGTGGCATGTTGGAAAACACGGAGGCGAAAACGATATGTTACTGGAACACGCTGGATTCGATTTTCTCATGCTCAGCTCGAAGGTGACACCGAGGGTTCCTCTTGACGGCTTGATGCCTGATTGATGCCACGAATAGAAGGCGGATCGAGATTTACCATGACACACGCGGTAGACTCTGTGCCTACACGTCGCCCAAATAAAAAGCGATACACCAAATGATTAGAATGTGGGGAACTTGCCCCAAGCACTTTCGCAGCGAAAACATCGGTAGCAAAAAACAACTTTGAAAAATACCCAATACACAACTAAATAAATAAAATAAAATAATACAAACAATGGCAGCATTTATTTACATATTAAGTTACGTTTCATTCTTTCTTTTCGGAGATCGAATAAGTTGAAAAGGAATGAATGCGCTCGATAAGGTCACTTTTTTGGTGTATCGCTTTTTATTTGGGCGACGTGGCCTACAGGGACCGAGGCAAGTACCTACCTAACAGGAAAACATGACAACTAATGACGGTTGCTCTTTGACAGACGCGTAACAGCTGTGCGCCAACAATGTGACGAAACCCTGAAAGCGGTTCGGTAGGATGGGCTGCCATGGATGGAACGTGGGAATGCGGCTGACGTGCTGCTCAGCTCAGGTGATGTTTGCAGAAGCAGTTCCTCAGGGGTGCATTCGCCTATGGCTGTTGGGCACACGTGAGTTTGGCTGAGTGCCGCCAAATCGACGGGACTGTAACGTGAGCAGTGTCATAGCATCCAAAAGGACCCTTAACAAGGACCCTTCTTTTTCTCCGCCTCTCTCCTGACCGTGAGGCTCCAATTTTGATCGCAAGAAGGCGGTCGCCGACAATCCTTGTCACCGTAAGCCTCGTCTGGCCATGATGGCGCCCGGAAGCTCCATCAGGCATCTCTTGGCAATGATTGGTGAAGGTGCTAGACGACAGCAGACATCATCACCTGGTGTCTGCGGGAATAAAACACATTGAATCAGATACCTCGCAGCTCATTCATATCTGATAGTTTTCGCAGCTGCCCGGACAATGGCGCCACGGGGGATGGGCCCGGTCCAGCCCAGCCCAGCCCATCTGCCTGGCTGTTGTCGCCCCGTTTCCCCTATCAACGATTGGTCTCCATGCCAAAGTGCGCAGCCAGTTTGGGGGTATGGGAGCACGGTCTCCCGAAAAAAGTCTGGACCGCAATTTTTTTCCCCACCCAAACTCAACCTCTCCCAAACACAATTGCACCAGCACCAAAGCCAAACAACATGCCCGCGCACCACTCT